CGTAAATGTTTTGCAAATGCTATCGAGCTATCTTAAATTTAACTCCGTTACTACTATTACTATTTTATATAGAATGCATATAAGTATATTGTAAACGTATTATCACCAAGTTGTACCACACCTTTTAAGGCCGAGAGGCATGAAATAAACGATTACTATTACTACTATTACTACATTAAAACATTGTTATCGGGTCACGTACTTCTACGTCCTTTGCAATCTGTCATTTGAGCTCGGATTATGTAAGAGTACATATTTAGTAGACTTGCATTGGAAAGCGGATGTCGTTTGTGGCACAATATATCCGCATACAATGTGTTAAGTTCAATCCTATGTTTTCCAATACTTTCTTTACATAAAATTTCATGGTCTATTTAAATTCAATAAAAAATACTAGTTACTTCACTTAAATATATAAAAATCAGCTTCATACTTCGATAAAAAAAAACAGATTAACGACAAAATGATCACAGCACTATGTGCTCTTCGAAACCATGCAAGTTTTGTTTGAAATAGTTTTGTTTATGGCGAATAATATGAAAGCTGTTCAAAATCGTCGCGTCATCACCCTGTATATACGACAAATATTGACAATATATAATATGTATATATCCGAATTATTTATTATAACTTCCAGGGCAGTATAAAACGTAGAAACTGAAGGGCTTTTTACAATATGTACATACATATGTACATGTAGCTATATTAAAAGACAATTGCGTTTGATATTCTTTTTTATCCTCGGCTTCGAATCGATATAATATTTTATACATATAATTATATATATATATATACATTTTATATTGTTTGCACATAGATGTGCATACGTTTATTGTAAGGGAACGTTACGTATTGAAACCACGCATACTCTTCCTTCTATGTAGACATACACGTTTATAAAAAGTGTAGTCGAACAAAACAATAAGAAATTTTACGATCGATTGGACGGTGGAAATACGTAAGGTCTGTTTTTCCGATGGTATCATTTTCGAACGCTGCGCACTTCATACGGCGGCCATATTGAGAAATGTCTGCTTATTGTTTTCAAAAGTAAAAAATCAACGTCAAAAATGTTAGACTGTGCTGTTAAAAGTTGTAAAACTTGGAATGGTAATATTAAAAAACTTAATGTTTCCTGTCATCAGTTTCCAAAGAATACAGCGTCGCGAAAAAAATGATGCGATGCATGTGGGCGGGAAAACGCCAATTTAAAAACTGATAATTCTCAAGTGTGTTATAAAATTTTTAAATAGATTTATAAAAACTAATTAAAATTTTTTAAGTTAACAATTAATGCTCACTTTCAGTGCTCCTTGACTTCCTTCCTTTTAATGCAAAATGTAATTAATGCAAAATACAAAATAATGATGATAATATGGCCTTTATAAGCAGACAGGTGACTGACTGTTCCAATCAGCTGCATATAATAACTTTATGTATTTCCACCACGATCGAATATGTGAGCGAATTCGAATTCTTCTTCTACATTGCTTATTCTCTTTACAAGTTCGCATAAACAAATTAATTGGTGTCAAATCAAGATATTCAAGTACGTATTTTGATTCTCAGAGATTCGCTTCTCCTTCAAGACTGAATGGAGATCTTCAACTAGTAATAAGTAAAATTAGAATAAGTAACGATTGTTTAAAGTCGATAACAATGCATTAATAACAGATTTGTGCAATAAATAATTAATAAGTAACAAAAAAGTTTGTACATAACAGTAGATTTTTTTTAACAATCGTTATACGTATTCGTTTTATTTAAAAATAAATAATCATTTAAACAGAAATTGTGCCCGATGCCCAATTCTGCGGAGCATCTGACTGTAAGTTTTAAGAATTAAAACGTACAGTGGATTCGTTGTAAAAGCGGAACCGTTTTGATAGTAACGGGGCATTACTCTAACAAATGTAAGGTACTTCATTATCTCATAGGCTATTCGATTTTATAAAAAAAAGACGGTGGAACGAACATTAAGCACGAACGTAACGAGATCATTTGTTTAAGTAAAGTGAGAGCATAAAATTGAGTAAATTTATACATTCGCTTGTACGTGCATTGGAAGTGAAAGCCTAAAATAAAGGTTCGTATTACCGACAGATAAATTAAAAATCAATAATTTGGCTGTTTTCGAATATGCAACTTCAGTATAAATATAAATGCAAAAATAAATACTTTTTACAGCTACTACAGACAAATGACAATGTATACACTGCCTGCATGAGGTATTGTATGTATAATTACATAAATCAAAATTCTTACTATAACTTTTGCTTTTAGATTTCGATTAACCCTTTGAGTAATATAGCGACTCTGGAGTCTGACCTTTCTTAAATTACTCTTTTCATTACTTTCGGCAATAAAACTTGAATTTTTGTTCTGCTTTTTAGAATTTTGGTGGACCGAACACCTTTTGACTACGTTAATTTGAATAAATTTCATAATACATGGGTTTTCAGGGTTGCTGATTACAAATCTGATATCAGAATTTCAAAATTTAAAATTCTGTATCGAGAATGACGAATTGGAAATAATATAACTCCCCACTACTCTCTCTAGAATCATACAAATCCCCCGCAACGATGAGCCGAAAAACCTCTGTACATCAAATTTTAGCATAACCAATATAAAATTCTATGATTCACATTGAATTGCAAAAATCTAATATCAAATTCATAATCGTCGACCCCCAATATAAAAGAAAACCAATAAACTTGAAAATTTTCATTCGCCATATTGGATCCGGCAAATTAGATTTAAAAATTCTGATGTCAAATTCGTAATCATCGACCCCCCTCCTCCAAATCTATATAAAAGCTGTTTGCATTTCATTTATGTGTCTATTTCATGAATGTGCTCTGTGACTCAAAGGGTTAATATATTTTTTTGTTTCCTTTCAGTTATCGAATTTAATCCCAACGAACACAATTTGAAGAGTACGACATACCCTTTTGTTAACATTAATTATTGATCTTAACTTTAGTTCAGGATTAAATTTTGTGTCGGTCAATTAAAAAATAGTTAACTTGACTCTAAGAAAATTACATGGGGTTTGTTCGACGAACGTTAAGAATGACTTGAATCAAAACAATTAATATGTTGCTTAGGCAATGCGTACAGTGGTCAGTTAAAGTCTGAAGCATTCTCCGGTAATACACTCTCATATTCTATACTTTGCCAGTAATATACGCGTACGTGCAGATAATTATTAGGCCGTCCAGCAAACAATGCAAATATAAGAAGAAATAAATAAGAAGAAATGAAAGAGAGGGGGAATTTTACATTAGAGTAGTTTAGATTAGATTAGATTTTATTAATTACTTAGAGCCTGGGTAGCCTAATGTTTATAAATCGTTTAACACTTTCAGTTGTTGTATATTATATCGAAATAGGTTTATTATAAACGAGCTAGTAACAGGTATAGTAAAAAGTGAAATCCGGCAGCATAATTTAAAAAAGAAATGCGTTACCTTATTTAAAAACTAGTCGAGTCGCATCTTTTCACAAACGTCGACCTCGTCTTACCTTAATATCAGAAATATCAAATACGTTTTTCCGTTTCTTATTCGATACGACGTGAATGATTGTTTCATCGATAAGCGTATAGTACCTGGACAAAGTATAAAGCATGTTTCGGTCGATAGACTAGCAAGCGTATGTATATTTTGCTGAATTTTACGGTTTCACCCCATTCGAGAGGTAAAGGAGAAAATGAAAAGGCATACGCTCTCGCTTCTCGGTCTGTCAACAGCGTATCTTGGCACTGAAGAGAGCTACTTAGCGACAAAGGAGCGAGCAAAGCCCGTGGACCTTTGTTGGATCGCCGCATCACCAAAATAGGCCGAGCTTCGTCCTCAAAAACTCCTTTATTGGGACGTAGTATTGGTTCCTTAAGGCCACCATCTCTGGCGTCTTGCGCAGGTTGTGGAAAAGCGTGGTGTCCGTCTCGAACACGAGAACGATCACGATAAACAGAACGGTGATCGTGAGCATGAAAGCCGGAATGAAAAGCCTCGTCGTAACGCGAAACGACTTGTGCCTCAGTCTCGCGGTCGTCCGTCGACTCGGCTGCCTTTGATGTTGGTATTGCTGTTGCTGCTGTTGTTGCTGTTGCTGTTGCTGCTGCTGCTGTAGACAGATCTTCGAGTTCTGAAGCTTCTGCATTTTTGGCACCGGCGTCACCGAACGACTCTGCGGTTTACCAGAAGCGTCCAACAATTGACTCTCTGACGAGGAGTGATCGAACGAGTCCCTGAAGTAGTAGTCGCTTATCACACCCTCGTGCTGCCCGACTGGAACAGAAATTTTCAAACAACATTCAATGATTACTATAGCGACGTACGTTAATCACATTGCGAATACATCGACGAACCAATTGAACTAACTGAAATCTTAAGGGAGACTCACGGTAAAGTCATCATAAGAGTGTTAATTTTATTCATTAAATTGGCCTAAAATATGGATATTAGGCCACTGATCTGTATGAAACACAGGATAATAGATGCATACCACTAATTTCTGTACAACAGTGAATAGTGTGTAACAATGGTCCTAATTCAAATGGCTGTGGTCATTTTTATTGAAGCCTTTTAGCCGTCTTTGTGGCAAACTTCAAATATTATGAATATGATAAACACAAAATCATATTTGAA